TTCAGGCTAGTGCGAGATGTCTCGCAATGCAAAGGAGAATGAGAAAAAAAAACAAAACGAAAAAATGTGCATGCTCGACGTGCTGTTAATGTACAAAATAATGTCACACTTGTGATCTGATGGCTGGATCTGATTGGGTTTGCCAGATCATAATCACTATTATGGAAGAGATTTCGAACTGAATTGACAGGACCATTTCTTTGTCAGACCAGAAAAAGTCATCAAAAAAGTAAATGAAAAGGGATGGATTGGGTATACGAAGTAGTTTCTCCGGTCCCACCATTTTACCTGTTGTCAGACCATTTCGAGACATGTAAGGAACCCTCCGTCATAATTGTACCCGTAGCACCGATCGAGGGATATGGAAACGAGATTTGTAACCAGCATCTGAAAGCGTATAATTTTCAACACATCATTATAACAGCGACATCTGTCTACCATTCTTCGCTGATACTCTGCAGTTATCTTGTGACACAACTACTACAATTCGAATGTGTTGGTAAACATGGCGGGGCTCCACGATAATTTGAAGCAAGTGATTATCTATTTTCGTCACGGAAGACTTTGACATGAGAAGCTTGAGCTGTTCACATAAGATATGCAATGGGAAATGTTTTCATGGTAGACAGTGAACTGCTCAAGTTGTGTTTGTACAACAGGCTGCTGGCTTTTCGCAGAAAGGGCATTCCATTCAACGGATTTTCCGCGAAAATGGTCCTTTTTGCCTACCGGTAGGATGTACAAAATTGATAAAGCTCACTATAGCAGAAACCAAGCAGTACCTTAGGCTTCAGTGCCAGAACGGGAAATCTATCAACCACAAATTTCGAAAGCTCTCTCAAAAATAAATTTCAAATTCAAAATGTTCTTGGCCATATATAAGTTTGTGAAAGTAATCAATTTCTCAACCACAGATCTGAAAAGTCTGATTTATTTCGTTCATTATAGGCTCTGGTGAAGACCGAGAACCACAAATGTTACGATATACCTCTATTGTGGGAACAGTCACAGATGTTGCTTTATAGTACCATCTCAGGACCTTATCAAGGGCAGTGGTTAATATGTGGTAAGAGCAAATGTCAATAGTTTTCATTCTAGATGAGTACTTGTATTGGTTGCACATTTAAACCAGCTAGCACCAATGCTACATTTCCCTTACGTTCACTGCTCATTTCCTCAATGTTTTTCGGAGTCCACATCGTGCAATAGCATTTTTGACTTTGGGAGTGCCGCTCTTTGTAGATTCGTGATCATACAATTAGCATTAAAAGGTGAGCAAAAATTAACACAAAATTATCTCCGAAATGGTCACAACTCATACTTGACTTAGCTCATACAGCGGAATTAATGTAGAATTTCAACTAACAAGGGATGTGTAATAGTTGAAATAAAATTTTCCTAAAAAGAAAAAGGAATGGAACATACCAAGAATTTTGTGGGCCTGGAAAACCTTTCCCAAGGTGGAACATATTGAACTTTCCTGTGAGCCATGTCAGCATTAATACTAGACCCTAATTATTTTGCTGCTATGTTAACCATCAAAAAATCTACGATGGAAGCCGCTGATAGCTGACAGGACATCAAGGCCGTCATCGTTCGAAGAACACGCGTCCCAGGCAGCCCAGACGGGCGTTAATTTGTTAAATCGTAAAGTCACTTTGGCTTAACAATATTCACGTTGATTTCCACGGTTATGCAGTATCTATGCAGTGTGTATGTGACCCACGATGTGGTAGCTTGTCCGCATATCAGTAGTATTATATATTAGGTCATCTCATTCAAACATGTCCACGGTTTTATTCGAATAAAATGAACAGCAGGAAAGATAAAAAGCTAATACTTTGGTGTGAAGTCAAGCAGATCTTGTCGTTGTTAACGACCCGATCCCAGCGTCTAGAAAACACTGGACACCGCGCAGCTTCTTCATTTCAACAAGTATAGACAAGATGCTTTTGATGTCAGTATAGATGATCAACGAATTGTCGTAGCGCTTCCGAACGAGTAGGGCGTTCAGTTCGATAAAACAGCTGAGGTCGCATGGCTGCAGTTGGGAAAATACGGCTGATAAGAAGAGGCCACAATATCCGTTTGATCGAAATACCCGTGAGCAATATGAGCTATGTAGGGTCTGGTATCGACATAGGTGATGATATCGTTATTGTAGTTTTATACTGCTATTCCTTTGTTTTGTTCGCTAAGAAACAAGCCATAAACTTGAGAAACGCCGGAGGTTTTTTCCCGACAGAGCCATTTAAGAGGCACACCTCAGAAATCCATCGCCATAATAATCATCCACGTGAACCCACGTGACTTCTCGTGATCCAATTCGGGCAGTTCCTCATTCGCGTTAATCCAAAGTTGACACTTCTGACTTTGGCCTCAGCGTACAATTACACACAAATTTCGTTTATGAGCAGGGTCCAGTTTGATAGTCTTAAATGCCGTTATCGGCAGAGAAAATCATTGCTACAGACACCAATTCGATTCTGGACTCCTGCATCTGGGAGTAAATGGGATATCCAAAAACATGTTCTGTGGACCATCCCCAATTTTTGGGCACAATTTGCGTAACAGGTGCAGCTAGACTGCAAGTCTCGTGGGCAAACATCGCAAAGGTTCAACATCTGTGATGCGCCATTTGAAACCTCATTTCATCCACCCGCTCTTCTTGGGCAAGGTGGACAATATGAACGCGTCCTCAACCACAACTCGCTTCCGTTCTCCCTTCTTTGAGCTCTCACACCATATCTTCAACGTAGCACTTCGAGAACACTGTATCACGCGTAAGTTGAGCCAGCACACACAGAATTCGAGTTGCGAATTTTACGTGTGTCACCAGTCATCTGGAAATTCCACCTCGATTTGGGTCACTATGAATTCTTTTATGTGTTTAAGTGTTTCCTCCTGCAGCACTATAAACTAAATTAGGGTATACCGTAGCTGGGTGTGCTAGCTTAAAAGCAAAAGCAAGTAGAATGCTCTAGCTCTTTTACTTTTCCCACCATTTCTCTAGATGTCTGGACATGTTTGAATGAGTTGACCTAATATAATTTGGGATTTGATGTTTCGAATAGGGTGTTCGCTCATCATTCAAGAAATAAAATATTAACACAATATTCGATGAACCTAAGCGGTAGCTTTCTACCTACAAAGCGTAT